ACAAAAAAAAAGAAAGAAAGAAGGGTCTTCCGGTAAGAAAATGGAAAAGTAAATAAAATGCAGAATGGAATTAGAACCTTATAATATGGTTATTGACTTGACAATGCTTATAAATTGTTATACATAAGCTACTTAGTTATTCCCAGACCTTAGTATATATAGCAATATGAAAGTATATTTATCTACTGATAATAAATAAGGTGAAAAAAAAGGTACAATGAAAAAGAAAAAAATGGCTTGGTTTGTTCATAAGAAATATATTTTTAAAGTTGCACAATTTTAGACTCCAATTGTGTGAGCATTGGATATCTCTGTGATGGTTACATCAGTCGAAGAGATCTCAGATATGAAATAAAGGAAGCATTAGGTTCGCTTTGTCCTATATGAAATCGAAAATCAAAAGGTTCCTAACAATAAAGTTTGCAAATGATAATTCTACAGTTACTAGGATTGCAGTAACTATTTCCTAGTATTGCTATAATACGCAAGAATGAAGACGGCAGCAAAGTAACTTTCGGCTTCTGGTATCGATAGTTTAGGAAAATTAATACAATCGTCCTTTATTATTCCTTTTACCAGATGACATTATTCGTTAGGGTCTTACTTAGTCAGAGCAATTTTACCATAATGATCCCCATTTGCGAATATCTAGATGATATTTCATATGCATCACACAAAAATACACTAAAACGCACTAAAGAGAGTATTGATAATTACGGTGTTAATAGTAGTATAGTGTAATCAAAGAAAAGTATCGTGGATTAATATACGTCCATGAAGAAGCCGTATATAGATATATGGGAGTTGACTGCAAAGACTAGAGTGTTGTAGTAATAGATTATAGGCAGTTTTAAAGTACATTATATTACTAATCTAGGATTTCATATAAACTAATAATGAAATCCAGCTTAATAAGTATACCTTTCTTCTCTTATCAGTGGCAGCTCAAAATGGTTACTATTTTACACTCTATGTCAACTCGAATACAGATTCCTAAAGAAAAAGAAAGGGATAACCTTAGAAACTTAAACAATCATTGATAATTAGATCTGCAAAATCATTAAATTAAATGTAGTCCTTTGATGCAAAACCCAACATCATTAGAGAGTACCCAAAAGGACAACTTTCGATATAATCATACGGAATAAAAGTTTATTTGACTATCTTTTGCTAATTATTCATTGAAATCTCTTTTTTAACATTAATTGAGGATGTCGGAAAAGGAGCTGAAATTGGATTCAAGCGATCCTCCTACTTACAACCATGCTAATGTTTAAAATTTTGATCTCGAATAGGGACTTTCTTTGTATACACCAAAATACATAAAAATAATCTCCAATTCAACTTCCGCCAAAGGAGAAGAAGAAGTATAAAACGATAATAACTGAATCCGACGACTTCGATGCTTTCTTTACCGAATATAGGAAGACGACAGATCATTTTCATAAAAGAATGTTTTGTATTTCAACATTAGTTTTATCATCTATTTGTATATTAGCAGTCACCTAATTTTTCGAATTTTTTTCTTAGCTAAAATATATTGAAAAAGGATACGATCTGACCCTTTTACCTTCAGGTACTTTGCTTGTGATGTGGGCAATGTTCTTTGCTTTGTTCCGTTGTAAGTGAAGCATTTTTGCTAATCGAAAACGTTACTAAAATGTGTCTTACTAATAAAACCTAGTATAAAATTGGTGTATCATTATGATAGTACGGAATGTCACTAAAGTTATAATCTTTATCGTGATTAGTCTTGGGGTTGGCTTCGAAATAATTTTCAAAGGTCTTGGACGGCTCGTTGGTACCACCTATTGTGGATTTTATAATATTTTTATTCATTGCGTGGATTTGAGATCAAATGCTTAACTAAAAGCAGCAGTTCGCCTACACTTTCGAGATATTGACAAAGAGATGATGTACTATCTCCTCCGCTGGAATAGAGCTGCAGTGCAATCCTACCACTCAAACTTAATGCCAATTTGTTTAACTTTCTTTCATCATGAGCTTTAACTCTTCCTATCGAGAGTTAAATAAGTGAAAAAAGAGAACATTACAAGCGGTCTATTTCGACCGAATATTTATTTTTGTGCCTTTATTGAGCATTTTTATACTTTATATATTAGCTGAAATGGCTACAACATGAACCTTCGGTGTTGGAAATTCACGGAAAACATTGGACAAGGCATGCTTGCGTTTTCCGCCGGTTGAGAGGCGATGAATGGGTTAATTTAAATGTAATGACATAACTAGAACGAACAGTAAAACTGAGAATCGTTGGTATCACTTTAGATTCATATACAAGGCTACTGTAATAATAATTGCATTTGGATATGATGAATTAGTCTTTAATAGCATAAGGTGACTAATGAATTTACTTTCAAAATAGACCTTTTTTGTGTATTGTCACCTGGCAAGTAACCGATCTGCAGCAAGTATACAACAGTTCGATCTCTTCCAAGACAATTGCAAAAGTAAAATAAAAGATAAATCCAATAACTTTTAGAAAGTAGAAAAAGTAAAGAAAGAAAGCCTACAGCACCCCGGATTCCCATGTTGTCTCCAACCATAGTACTAACGAGGCCCTCAGACGCTTAACTGCAGTGATCGGACGGGAACTGGTGTTTTCGCCTAGGTATGGCCGTAGACAGTTGTCTAGTCCTTTCGGAGCACTTAACTTCGATGACAATCACGTTTGTGCAGTTTGATTTTTTTTTGAAAAACGCAGTTCTCTAATTTGCATACTCGCCTTGGCACTGCTTTTCACTTTCGAAGGGCACGGGTTGCTTATGATCCTATGTCTTTAGAACATAATAATTTAATTATAATTATAATTGTAGTTAGAAATATAAAAAATAATGATAACGCAACTGAGAGAACACCTTATTTCCCATCTTGTATTCAAGCTTTTCCGGTACAATTTTAACCGGTAATGGGAACTTGTCGTTTCTTCCAAATCCTCCTGTCGTCTCAAATGCTAGCGATTCCTTTTCCGTAGACTGTAGCTGTATCTCTACTAAATCTATTTACTAGCACTAGCACTAGCTCTAGCACTAGCACAACACTAGCTCTCTCATCATGACCAACTGCTTTCTGTACATTTGCTTAATTATGGATTGATTTCGTTAGGTTCTTCATAAGACAAAAAAAGAGAAAAAAAATTCAACAACTAGATTCTTACAGTCTCTGTGTCTTGGTCACTCTCGTTACATAAATTTAATTACGTTCGAGGCCCCGCACGTAGATAGCTGTCTGTCGTACTTCTCTAATTTCTCTTTCTTCTACCAACTACCAAACATAACCTATTCATATTGCAAATGGGTCTTATGCGAGGTAAAAGCTGGCTGTTATGGCTGCTTTCTTTCTCTTATTTCTTACAAATATACAGTTATTCATCCAATCCTTATATAATTGACGATGAAGCGTTCCAAGTGACTTTAAGTTGTAAAAACGTAAAAGCGAAAAGAGACTCGCTGCATGTCAATATTTTTAGCTGGTGTAAATATGGTGGACCAACGGCGGTGACCCATTTTAATGCAAAGGATTGGGAATGTGCTTTGGGTTCCTTAATCGAGAGGGAACCTCTTTCTGCTTTTTTTTCACAGCTCCAGGTAAATCAACTTAAAACTTCTATTCATATTCCTCCGGAGAAACGAGAAGTGTGGACAGGTCCACTTGAGTGCAACAAAACTTCGGTGATGAACGGTATAATTTCGTTAAATAATTCTATATATAAAGATTTTAAGATAAATGAGTCTGGTGTTTATTGTATTGCTACAAGGCCATTGACAAGCTTGGGTTCGCGTGCTCTTACTAATCATGATTATTATTATTATTTCACTGGAGATCCCGGGTATGAACCGCATCCAGACTATTTTCCAATAATTGTTACATTAATTACAGTTTTCTTATTAACTCCAGCTTGTTTTTGGATCTACGCACTGCTGTCCCAACCAGCAAAAGTACTGCCTATTCAATATGGGTTATTAATCCATGTTGTAAACATAGCGATTGGTATCACTATAAATATATGTGATGATGAGATCTATCTTTATTTTAAATACCCTGTTGAAGTTTTTGTTCGTCGTTTACTCCTTTTCCTTGCCTCTTTTGGTATCGGAGTCTGGCGGCCTGTTGAGCCTAAACTCGTTTTAAGGGTTGTCGCTGGGTTGTCTTTTTTACTTTTCTTTCAAATTGTTTCTACATTGATTGATTTTGAGCCTATCTATTTAATTGATGAATGGTTAAATAACTTCGCTACCAACATTATTTGGTTGTCTTCAATTTATATGCTTTTTAAAGAACGAGATCATTTCAACTCTAAATCTGAACGCTCTGCGAAGGTTTGTAAGCATTCTCTAATTTACTGCGTCGCTGTTTTTACTCTTTTTCCTTTAACAAGAGACGCCTTTGAGGCAATCTCGTTTGAGGCAGACGATATTATATATTGGGTTATTCGTTATTTTATTGAAATCGTTATTCCTTGCTATATATGGTATCCCTCCCAAAATGAGCAGATTGCTTACAAAGAAAGTGTGGAACTTTAAAGACCAAATCAGCTATCTTTTGCTAATTTCATGCATACTTAATAATACGTCTACGGGAAAGCTTCCATAATTGCTAATTATAATATGCATTCGTTTTTTATTTCTTTTATTTCACGAATGATCTCATATTTCATATAATTTAATATTATTATATTCATTTGTTTGATTTCTGTTGATGACTAGTTCAGAATAGCAAGACGGGGCTGCACTAGCAATGAAAAGTGTGCAGTACATATACCATTATAATCCTTTGGAATACCATCTACTAGAGGAATCCAGGAAGCCACATTACTAACAACTTTTGCTTGATTCAAACTATTTTTGGTGCTTTCTTTGAGATCCCACGCCCCTGCAGTGATCGGACGGAATCTAGTGTTTTCGCCTAGGTGTGGCCGTAGACAAATGTCTGCTTAGTTTAAACCTTTTATTAGAATACTTATTTATATCCAATGCTGCTTAATATTTGGATTAAGTAATCTTACATTGAAAGAAAAATTTATAAATGTGTCGTTATCCACGATACACCTTTTCAATACTCACCTACTATGGTCAGTGTCCACGTTCAGCGATTGTGAATACTAGTTAATAAAGCATAGGCTTTTATTACATCTTTAGCGCTATATGAAGTAAATAAACAACAAGAAAATAAAATTACAAAATATGAAACCGGAATCGAAAGTTGAGATCCTAGAACAAAAATACTAGTATGTAGGTCATGTCGACTGTATCCGTAAAGTCTCATATTATCTGATCATAGTCAAAAGTTTCATCTTGGAGGATTCAACGATTCCGGCTGAGCTAAGTAAAGTCACCTTTCAGATACTTACATTTAGTTTACCAGGTACCCAGGATATGCTACTATCTGTAAATACAGTACAAGAGAGACCAAAACAAGTATACAACGTAACATATTCCTCCTTTCTTCCAGTAAATATACAATTTCAAACCATTGAACTGTCTATTGTGTCGACTTTACCTTTTGTTAATCGTAACACTTAACACGATTTTTTTCTTAATTCACTGTATCTCATATGTATATGTAGGTTTACTTAGAAAAGAATTTGTTTTAATTTCGTTATAGCTACGACCTCAGAATATATATATAAAAGTATTTACATCTGAATGATTCACTCCCATTCGTAATGACCAATTACAATAGTTATGGGTAGAAATAGAAAAAAAAAGAAAGAAACCTTTGTTTTAATCATGAAGCACCACCAAATCACGAAAAGTTTTGGCATTATTAGATCACCAAAGAAGGGATATGCAACGTGAAGTCCAATGCTATTATTTTTTTATCCAGGTAAATAAGACGAAAAGAGAAAAAAAAAGAAATATTTCATCATCCCATCATGATCCTGACTGCCATCATATTCATGGGCATCTCTCTTCCTAGGCTTCTGCTCAGAGGGGACAAGCATCCTAATTCAGTGTTCATCATCTCGATTCTGTTGCGTTAATGATTATTAGCTATAAGCATGGAATGAATTACAACACTTGAAGCTTTGCTGTTTTCACCACCTTCACAGATAAACAAAACGAGCAATAACAATAGAGAGATTCAAAATGAACAAGTGTAGAATGAGATTAAATCACGCTATGTGTAGATTTTATCAAATCAATATACTTTCTGCCACTTTCAAAGGCTCATATTTTCTCACAAGAATCTGATCACCTAAGCTAAGCAATTTTTTTCTTATCAAATGGCTAAGTTATTAGTTAACTCGGTTTGGCAACCAGGGGTAGTAGCGAACACTTGTTTGTTATGACATCTACCAAGCTCCAATCCCATCAGCCTTTCCACATTGTCTACATCATTATTACGTTATGAATAGTTGGCTGGTTGTAGACAAAACTTATCTGATCAAATCATTGTTTACTAGTAACCTGAATTGTAAGCCTCCTGATGAATTATCGGAAGCTGGTGAATGTAAAAGGTGTGGCTGATCGGGGTCCTTATTTTCTATAAAAGATCCAAGGTATCCTTGACTTTTTCTTCATCTCGTCGATTCCAAAAGATCCTTTATTCACTTTTGGGATACTTAATTTTTTGAATTTTAAATTTCTCTTTCAAATTAAAGCTTTCTTTCCAGATTCAACAAAAATGCGTACATTTTTGGTTAGTCTTCTCTTAATTCCCCTGTTGGGAATCTCTTCTGCCTATCCTTACGGCAATGCAGCTGAAAGAAACGCTACCAATTTTAGTTCTGCTTACCAAGGAGCTAATACTACATCGGCTTTAACTATCACGAATAGCACGAATAGCGCTCAAATTGAAGGAAAGCCTGCTAACGCTACCTTCAAAAGAGATTGCTGGAGAAGCTCACAAGGAACCTGTCTAGCATAAAAATGCAATCACCCCCAGTACACTGTCGGCCAGTTTATAATAAAACATATGATTATAAGCATAGATTCTTCAAGGTCAGTCCAAAAAGACCACTTCTCTAATATCTTTTCTTTCTTTTTATGGTGATTATTTTTATTCGAGTTTTGCTGTTGCGCTTCCTTTCGCTTTGGGAATGGAAACTTGGATGTTTCGTTTTATGGCAGTCTACTATCTTTTTACGTCTAAATTAATATTTGATAACTTTATTTTTTCTTTTAATTGAAATTTCTGAAAGATACTTTTTGAATATTAAATCTTATATGAAGTTAATTGACTGAAGAAATTCTGAGTATTAACGTGTAGATAATCCACTAAATAACACAGAATAGCGTTAGACTAGCCCGTTTTAGCCATATAACAACTTTGCGATACATGCTTTTGATTTCGTAAAATGTGCTGGACTATTATGAATAATCCGGCAATGAGAGTGTTTCGACTAGCAATAAGATTTCAATAAAGCATTCATTCTTGATGCTTTCATTAAATTTTTTTGAGTTTATTTTCTATAGAATTATCTCATTTATTTGCTTTGTTTTGACACTTTAAATCTTTTTGGAATCTACATACAACATTTCCGTTGCTGTCTGTCATGATAGGGTATGCTAATTGTCGTAGGGACAAAAAGGTTATGGCTTATATGAATATAAGTAAAGCTGAACTATTTAAGTACGATTGTAGTGGTGTTTATCGAACTGGACTGAATAGTATTACATATCTCTATTCAAGCAGCAAATTTCCGTAATGTTACACATGTCAACTGAAATAAAAGATTTACTGTTGGGCAGCCATTTTATTTAGTTTCCTTCAATGCTTACTTCTTAAAGGCTCGCTCGCAATAAACAGCATATAAATTGTAGATGTTATTACGCGTATTGTTTCCATAATTTCTGTCGCCTTAAACCTTTTAAGGATTAGAATATTCGCTAAGAGGTTTCGCATACTATTAAAAACTATAATTAGTTCTTCCAAATGGACTTTTGTTTATAACAGCTTTTCCTAGTGGAAAAGCTATAAATTACAAGCCAGAAAAAAAAAAAAAAAAAAAAAAAAAAAAGGGTCAACAGGGCATTTATGATATGAAAGGCTGTTGCAAGTCGCTTATATTGTTGAACTATACTTTCAAGGGTTGAAAGGTAAACAATAGAAAGACCCAGGTACTTTGGGACAAATTCTGATTTCTTTCTTTTATGTAATAAGAAGGAGAAGATTAATCAAAGAAGTCAATATTGTGATATTTATGGCTTGGACGGATTACAAGTACAAAAAGACAAAACTTCAAAAAGAACACTACTTGATGCTAAATAGAATCATGAAACGTAGTCAACCTATTTATAGACAAACACTGGTCACATAATATGTAAACAAACACTTGGTAAAACACGTTATCGTAAATGAAGTTTATTAATAATAAATCATCTTCTTTTATTATATTTGCTTTCTTGATCTTGTTTTTAGACGGTATAATCTTTCTTAATTGTGAACCCGTTATAGACAAAAAAATCAGCAAACTTCATGCAAAACGCCCATCACCCATTAGTACTGAGTTTGAAGTAAGATTCATATTTACTGTTGTACAACTCGCTTATTTGTTGTATTCTTTTTTTGTTGAGGAGAAACCGGTAAATGGAAATGGTTTCAATTTTCTTCGTGTATTTGTTTTCAAATCTGAAATTCGGTTAGTGTACATTTTACTACTGCAGTGAATCATGGACTTTGGCAATGGTACATTATTTTGTATCTTGCAAGCTGTACATGCAAGTAGAACTTATCTGTAACTTTTTTTAAAAAAAGAAAAAATTGTATTCGCCTTAAGCATTAGTTTAGCCGAAATATGAAAAGTCCCTATGATTTGGTATGAGGGATCTATCATAGAAGCTAAATTTCAAATGTGATGCCGCTTTGTATAGTTTTCTCAAAGATTATGACATGGTAGCCCACGTGTTTGTAGGAAACGATTTGACCAAATACTGGTGACTGCCAGTGATTTCCAAGCCGATTTCCTATGTTAGCTGACATCCCATCATGAAAATTTATTCAGGATCTCGTCCATAATGGATAATAACATGGATACATCATCGTTGCTTTTCAAGAGATACCACTTCAAATCAAAAACCCTATCAAACTCTTCTAGATTCAGATGGTCTGTTATATCTTCCTTAAACACGGTAACCCAATCGTAATTTTCTTTTTTCAACTGAAACCAACTTTCATACACATGTCTAACAAGTTCACCTATTCGGTTCTGTTGGTACAACTGATGCGCTTCAGCAAAATACCAGTTTATCGTTGGGTCCTGATGATAATGTGGAACCGCAGCTATCCAAATCACCGCTGGAGCATCACTTATTCCGGAATCAAAAGTCATTATTAGGAAAAATCCGTTAAAAAATAGCGAATGACCTATATGTCGTCTTTCACAGAATAAAGCGGTAATCTGGGCAAATTATCTACTGTGTATTATTGTCATGTCACGATAGGTGTCTTGTTTGTATTATATATATTACGATACACTATCATAAGAGCATATTGCTAAATATTAGCAAATGTAATAAGACTAAAGGATGAGATATTACAAATGGTAAACAAAACAAAGAAAATACGATTTTAACAAATCGGAAAGCTTTTCGGGACGGAAGTCTTATATACAAAGAAAGTTTGTTATACAAAGTAATAGATTACGTTAGTTGTTTCAGCGAAGATATATAAACTATGAATTCACAGTCGAATTCTTCAGATTGGAAGATTCTACTGGTCCGGCTAAATAAGATCGTATTCCTACTTTCAATTTAGTTAACCAGATCCCTGGACATTACTAGCAACTAGATACGCATTATAACTAAGTCCAATTAACGTATACAATTCTACAATCGTAGATATTAATTCCACTTGATTTTTATTCTCATAAACCCCGAGAATTTTTAACGTGACAATTTTGGTTACGGTTAATTTTGTAATATATGATTTACTCTTCCGCTACTTAGAACTTGGAGGTCTTTGTTTTTAAACCAGGATAGAAATAAAAATGAAAATGAAAATGAAAATACAATCTGTATGCGGAGACTACATACTACATACTACAAAAAAAAAAAAAATGCATGCCACAGATTTCAAAAGTGTCATGAAGATTGAAAGTATATCGGTTTTGAGAAGTTGAGTTTTCTACTATAAACATTGACAGTAAAGAAAAGTATTTTAGAAAACTAATTCATTTGGCAGCCAATTAGAAATTTATCAAATGGAAGCGTTTTTGTTTATGCGTATTTTGTTCCTATAAACAACTTTCGTTTATCTTACATCCTACTAAGCCTGTTGTTTTGCTAGCAATAATTGAATTCCAAAACCGAATTGTTTATTAACCCGCGGCAAACCTCCTATCATTATGAAAAAGCCCATCGTTACAATACTGTAATCTAACAATGAGTTTTGAAAAAATAAAACCACATGTTACAAACGAACCACAAAAGAATAGTAATAGTAAATGCTTTCAAATTTAGTTGTTCTCTTGAGTGTTGATGAAGAGTGACTTGTATAATGTGGGGACTCATATCTCTGTATCTTTGACTCTAGGCGGATTGCTGGCTAACTTCCACACCAAATAAGCGATAGTCTTATATAGCGTGCTTATTCATAATTAACGTAGTCGAAGCATATAAATGCGAAAATTGAACAAAAATCGACTGCTGCGACCTAACAAACGGTGCTGTTTGGCACAGAAAGTTATATATGGAATTCGCTGACGGTATTGGCTAATTAAGGCTTTAAAATAAAGAAAAAACCGACCCGAAAAGAAAGGGAATATATCTGGATTAAAAACTTTCTTGTATCCAGTTTTTTTTTTTTTGTTCGACTACGGTTTTTTCTTATATATATATATATTTACATTCTTTCATTCTTCGATAATGAATTCTAGGAAGTTAAATGATCAAGAAAGAGAAACAACACCTCCTCTTTCTGAAAAATTTCGTCTGTTAGATTCGAGTCTCAACTCGCAAACCTCCCTTCAGACAACTACTAATTCAATAACCGTACTTAATACCGAAACCAAAGATATTGATGTGTAGCCCTATACTCCTGATACTCGTGTAACACCAAACTTGATTTGGATAGAGGTTTCTCTATTTTTGAACAATTTCCTCGTTGGTCTTCATACGCAGCTTACGCTTTTCGATTATACTACGACTGGTGAAGTATCTCAGACTCCAAATAACCTGTCGTATCTTTCCTATTTCGTTACTAATACTACATTTCAGCCTTCATACGGATCGTTTTCAGACAATTTCGGAAGGCGAGCATGTTTTATTGACGGCATCCGCACTGTTCTGTCTTGGTTGTCTATGGAGCCACTTTGCTAATAGGTTCATTTCTTAATATTTGCAAACACCATTACCGGAATTGGAGGAGGAGGATTGATCACGCTGACGAAGATTAGTAACTCGGATATCATTCCGGCAAGAAGGCGAACATTATACTTAAGACTATTTTTTTCGGATATGTTGGTTTTATTTAGCCTCTTTTGTTGCAAACTTTTTGAAGGTTTTAGTTTGAGATTCTGTTTTCTCATGCAAGTTCCTTTCTCATTGTTAAGTATTGCCGTGTGGTACTTTTTCTGTAAAAAATCAAGCCAATTTCACAAAACCTCACCATTATCGAAATCTTTTGAAAAGTGTTGATATAATAGGAGGATTACTCTGGGTTTCTTGGTTGACAGCGTTGTTAATGGTTTCAACTTTTGCTAGTACAAAAACCATTCAGACATTTGGACTCTTTCTATGTTTATTAGTATTAG